CCAGTTCCCAGCGCTGCTGGACGACTGCCTCAGATCAGCATGCAACGATATCGATGGTATTGTGGTAACCTCTGTCACAGGTGAGCATGTGGTGACTCATGATTACTGGAAAATGGGAGTCACTAATTTGAACTGTGGCTGGCTTCTCTGGCAACACCCATGGAACGACACTGGGGTGTGAAGCTGGGATGGGACCACTGTGTGAGGGAAGACCACAGAACTGCCTGTGCAGTTGACTGATGAGCTCGAGCTCCTGCAATGCAGTTCCTGGGTTCTCATCATGCTATTTGTTCCTTTCCCTAAGCATCTCCCACTGTTGCCAACTAGACAATACTCAGTGAGGCTGTGAACCACCTATCCTGGTGACAGTAGCATTTGTCCCTTTTTTCATTGTATTTGATAGTAGTAAAATATTCTTAATTGGTAGCAGCATGCTCAGCTACCCTGAAAGGGCTGAGGCTACCACTGGACGGCAAGATCAGTTGCATGGCCTTCACTAGCAGGGGTTCCCATGAAGCCAGTGGTACAAAACACTAGGAAGAGAAGCTAAGCTCTGTAAATTTGTTGGGTATTGTGGCACTGTTCTCTCCCTAGCCATGTTCTTGGGGCTGGTATTCACTGATTGTAGCCCCATGCACACAGCCACAGTGGGCATGACAGCCTCCTCCCTTCCTGCCATTTTCATCCAGCTTTTGTCACTGGGCTGCTCATGCTAAGCCAGCTTGGTGGCAGTCACCTCACACAGATGTCCATGTTGGTGGACTGGCACCTCCAGATAGGAGCAATCCAAGGCAGACTGTGCCCACTGCTGGGGGGAGGCTCCATGGATGGTGAGGTCACGTGCACAGCCTCTCAGATACTATTTCTTTCCACATTCAGGTGCTGTTTAAAATTGGACAGTGTTGGCAGTTGGGAAACCGGGCTTTGAAGGTGTCTGAGGGAGTGTTCTTACAAGACAAGTAGACACAGCCTGTTAGTCGCACTAAGACACTGGGTTTTAGGGCTTTTTTTTTGCAGAGACATGCAGAGAATTTCTCTCCCTTTGGCCCAAGTATACCTGTTTCTGGTAAGGGCTGTATCTCTGAGCCAGGGCACGTCCCACCAAACCCACACAGCTTGACCAAACTGACAGCCCAAGACTTTCCAGTGGGCAACTTGGAGCTCGACAGCCAGTCTTCAGAAACTCCTTCCGGGTGGTGGGGCGGGAGGGAAGCGTGGCGGTATAGCCTTGTCCACCATGCACTTCTTCACTCCCTCCCTTTCAGCCCTGTCCTTTCTCAATACCCAGGAAAGATTAACTCCTCTCTGCATGCCAGAGAAAGTTATTATCATTAATGAAGAATTAAAAGGGAGCGATTAATAAAGGGCCCTTATCTGGCAGCGAGGAGGAGGCTGGACAATGGGAGGAAGATGGAGAAAATGAAAAACAATAAATATGAAGCGTAAAAGGAGGCGAGCACTGCTCCCACTTGTTAGATCGCAGCTGCATCTCCTGAGGGGGGAAAGGCTCCAAATTGCTAATTACTGCCTCTGAAAAGACCTCGCTCTGATATGTTTTCTGCTGAAAGGTTCCCATTAATGAAGCAGCGATGATGCCGTTTCCCTTTGACTTGCCTTCAATTCCCTCCCTGAGCTTCCTCCCAAGCCGGGAACAATGAGGCCCTGGGAGCTGGCGGCTCCCACAGGCCTCTCCGAGACTAGGCCGGGGGCAGCCGAGTGAGGGGAGCCGAGCCGGCTGTGAAATATGGAGGGGGGAGATAAGGCAAAGACAGAGGAAAGAGGCTCACTCCCAGGAGCCCAGGGAAAATTTGCAGTTATTATGAAGGAGATGAGACAGATTAAAAGCCCTTGTGTTCTGCGCTGCCCTTTTATTTAGTGGCTTCATCTCCGAGATGAAAGAAGTTGGAAATGACTTTCTCCGCGTTTTGCTGCGAGAAGCTTCACGGCACATTTTTTGACTTTATTCCTCCCTTTGTCTCTTGTCCCCTTTCTGTCTCTCTCTTTTTCCTTTTAACCCCTGGAAGGTTTCGCTGAGAAGCACCATGGGACCAGGCAGAGCATTTGCTGGGATAGAGCAACGACCCTTCTCCTGTCCCCGGTCCGACCAGGCCCTGCCTCTCCCGCTGCCCGCCAGAGAGGGACCTGGGCAAAGGCACCACAACCGCACGCTGCTACCATCCAGCCAAGTTTCCTCTCCTGCTCACCTCGGAAATGTCCCTCACCACTGACATCTCCTCTCCCGCCTCCAGGCTCAGCAGTTCAGTGCTGGTGACCGCAGCCTCTGGGCAGGAAAAAGAAACCTGGATGTACGAAGCCCAGAAATGGGTAACAATCCATTCAGGGTAAGAGTGACGAACATTTTGCATCCCTGGAGCGTTTCACGAGCAAAACTAGTGCTGAGAAGACGGGCCAGTTCCCGTTGTCCATGCAGGGAACCTGCAAACTGCACAGAGAGTAGATAATTTGCCAGGGACAAAGGATAAAGTCAAATGCAGGCAAGGATTCAAAATTTATGGTCACTGGCTCACTTCATGGTGAACCTCGTAAGACAGGACAGAAATACCATAAACCGCTCAAAACCAGATTAACCCAACTGCCCCATTGTATTTCTCCAACTCCTATTCCCAATTTTCTGTTTTTTCTCTGTACACATCATTGCTCCATTGCTGCACCCTTTTAGTTCTTGGGACTCTTGCAATTGCAAAAGCAGCTTCTCCCCTACCTTTTGCTTTTGCCCTTTCCCAGAAAATCAACCCCACACACCAATCTGCTGCCTTTACTGAGGCCAAACACTGCCAACATCTGTTGAAATTTGGTTTGAAGTGTTGAAAATGGCTAAAAAAATTGGACAGGTGAAGTAAAATTTATACCATTTGCAAAACAGTTTGTTCACCAACAGAAACAGCAGATAACTATTTGGGAAAATGAAAGGAAAACAAGAGAAATTAGAATGGGCATCTGCTGCTGTCTCCCCAGGACATCCGAACACAGGATTTCTTGTACACAATCATTTGTCTGGTTTGTTATCCTGCCTGGAATGGCAGCCAGTACCGAATGCTTGAAATGAAGGGGTAAGAAGCTCTGAAGTGGATGTTTACAGAATAACCTTCCCATCAGGGGAGTTTCTCTCTAACCCAGACATTTTGTAGCTGTTTTATATCCTGAAGCATGTAAAAGGATTGCAGCGGTGAAACAGGATTAGATTTTAGGAGGGATTGGCTCTCAGATCTGAGAGTAAAAAGAAAACCCCTGTATTGGAAATAGGAAACTGGCAGGGAAAACAAAATACTGCAGACATGTAGGGTGACTTACTGCCACAGAAAGGGTTAAAAAGACAAAAGGACAGAATTTCAGACAAATCGGTGCTGAGAAAGTAACTTAAATGAAGTCAGCTATTGGGAATGGGATGAAAATGATCTACCCAATGGCTGTTTTTCTTCTTTTAACATTTCTTTTCCAAGGAAATTTCTCAGAGAACTGAAAGGTAATGAAAATGTTAACATGACAGCTCAGACTGACATAAAGGGCTAGTTAAACAGCATGTAGAGAGAGCTCAGTGAAGCAAAACGACGACTGTCCTATAGGGGTGTAGGAATAAACGCCGAACTCCAAGATTCTCTTTTTTTTGAAGTATCTTAGCAAACTAGGGAGGGTGCCAGAGGACTGAGGAAAAGCAAGGGCCGTACCAGTCTTTTTTGGGGGGGCAGGGAGGAAGCAGTGATCTTGGCAATTATCACCCTTTCAGAGTAACTTCTGCTCCTGGTGACATGATGGAATAAACAGGGGCAGGAAAAAAATGTAATAATACAAAGGATAAGAGATCTATGAGCAATAAGCAGCAGTGTAGATTTATAGAGAACAAATCACGTCAGACAAACCTGATTACTTCCTCTGATTGAATTCACAAAATTAGTGAAGAGAACGCCACGAATGTAATATGTATGCACTTCGGCAAAGCCTTTGATATGCTGCCTCGTAAAATGTTACATGAAAAATGAACTTGTGTTGGCTTGAATGCGAATGCAGCCACCTGGGTTAAAAAAAAACAACCATCCAACCAAC